ATTCCGATTTCTCTAGTTAAATCTGATTAATTTGTGTGGTCGTTCACATTTTCAAATAAATGTGACTTGTGTGATCTGCATTCATTAAATTTAACTGTTCGGCATGCGCAGTAGAGGACGCAACAACGTCACAACTGCTCTGTATTTACAGAAGTAAACATTAACAGTAGTGCTGGAGCACATTAAGCAAAATTTCCTTTCTTTTCCAAGCAGAGCAAGGGCATTAAAAATGCACTCTGTTCAAGAAGATCAAAAAGAAAAACTCCTCTCTGCATTATTGTCTGCCATGGTTGTTTTTTCTTCCTGCTTCTTTGTTGCAGACGTAATTTCATTAATGCTATGAAGATATGAATGTGAGTCATATTCAGATATGTATCAGATTTAGGGCCACATACCCAAGTGGTCTTGGAAGCATTTGAAAATATCGGATTTGTGTTGTTCAGACTGTCATTAAAAGATCAGATACAAGTTGGCTCACTTCAGGCTGCAGTGTGAACATAGCCTATAATTACAGGCCATTTACTTATTAAATTCAATATGAATTTAAAAGTCACGTTTTGTATTCATGCAGGTTTTCATTCATCGAGGGACACAAAAATCCCAAATTGAATAAATATGTAAGTGGGAAATACTATTTCGGCTGCTCAGTGCTGCAGTCAGTGGCATTGCTTCCTTGCAGCAAAGAAGCAATGCTTTGATTCCCGGCCCGGGGTCTTTCTGCATGGAGTTTGCATGATCACCCTGTGCATGCATGGGTTCTCTCAGGGTACTCCAGCTTCCTCCCGCAGTCAAAACATGAGTTTTAGGTCAAATGGCTTCTCTAAATTCTCCTTAGGTGTGAGTGTGTGTGTAAATGGTTGTTTGTCTCTATGTTGCCCTGCGATGGACTGGCGACCTGTCCAGGGTGTACGCCGCCTGTAGACAGCTGGAGATCGGCAACACCTGTGAGTGTGACGAAAATGGATATAAATGCTATTTCTTTATATCTAATTCCCTGCCACAAACTTACAGAGGAGACCCATTTGTCTTCTTTATTGACATTACACTAATTAGTTGTGTTTTTCGCAGATATACATTGTATTTACTCACTCATCCTATGAATTAAGGAAGCCTGAAATAAAGCAGCCTGAGATGACGAAGGAAATCTCTCCCTCTGACTCAGGGATCTATAATCTGCTAATCATAAACAATACAGTTAAAGCAACTTGGCCTTGTCCAGTCGTTTGAATACCTGGGATTTTTCCAATTACATTTGAAAACAGAAAAGACAAATGACTTTTGTTACAAAAGTCTGAACAAACTCTTCTTACTGTTGAATTATCAAAATTATTTTTATTTGCAAAATTTCCTTTTTTATGAAATTACATTTTTTTATTACTTTGTTCAGAAGATTACATGCAACAAAATAATAGTATGCCTCCTGAGATTTTAGAAAAGCCCATAAGAGATGTGAGAGTATGTTTAAATGTCGAATCCCAACTGTGTGTCTAGCACTTGCAGTGAACACCACTCTAGGTGTTATCCTGTGCAAATCTGTTTTTTTTTTTTCTAAGTATGGGCGTATAACAACATTAGTCTCCCATTGTGTTGGGAACAGTAGCGTGAGAGTGGACAGTAGGTCAGCTGCAATGTTACATGAAAGGTTTGGCCATCTTTAAAGACCGTACAGCACGCATATCATAACAAACACACAGGAACACAAATACAAACTCCCATCTGTGTGGCTCACTTTGCTCCTCATACTAAAACAATCTGCTGTGATAATAGGACGGCGTGTTTCTGGTTCCCAGTGGGCCTAAAAAGACAAAAGAGGGTCCGGAAAAGGCTGCTCGCTCATCCTCGCCTAGTGTATGTAGGAGCACTGATCCTTCCGCAAATATACACTTACAGGCACTTTTTCACATAGTATGCAGACACAATGTTTATGTATATTTCTTTTCAATATATTTAGATGATTTTCTTTTCTGGTACAAACTCTTTTTAGAACCTCATGCAGACAAAACCTGAATTTCTGAGGGCCTTTATTGGATTAGTAATTGGAAAGTTAGAAGGAGAGGGCGAGTCTTTTCAATATTTGCAAAAATCCTCCACTATACCTTTGAATTAAGTGCAAATTTTTAAAACATTAAGTAAATTCAAAGGAAGCAGAAATATAATTTTTCTAAATTAGTTTTTCAACATGAAATGTACTCATCCTCGTACTCATCGTCTTCATCTTATCCAAAACCAGGTCAAGGGGGCAGCAGACTCATCATGCAGACTCCCTGACTTCCCTCTCCCCAGACACCTCCTTTAGCTCCAGAAACAAATATCTGAGCCACATTAGTGAATTTAGAATAAAAGGGAGTACCTGGCCATCCTGAGGAGAAATCTCATTTCAACCGCTTGTACCCGGGATCTAATTTTTCCAGTCATTTAATGAACATAGGTGAGGAGAGGAATTTAGACTGGTCAACAGAAAGCTTTGCCTCTTGTAACAGTAGGCCATGAAATGACAGAGAGGGCCTGGAATAGGCTGCTCGTTCAACTTCATAATTCTAAATGATTAAATTTCTGGTATACATTCTTTTGGAACCATATAGAGAAAAAACATCAGTTTCTGAGGACCATGTCAGCTTTACTGATCTGTCTTTTGATCTCCCGCTCCATTCTCCCATCACCCACAAACAGAAACCCAAAATATTTGAACTCTTACACTCACTTGTGGACTCAGATTTGGAGGAGCTGCTCCTCCCAGCCATTTTGCACATGGCTGTTATCCACACAAATGCATGTTGGCAGGAAGGAGCAAGCAGAGCCCTGTTATCACAAAAAAGTAGGGGTGAAATCTGCTCATACCCAAACCAGACCCCTCTAGCCATTGACTGTGCCAATAAATTCTGTCCATAAAGGTTATCAACAGGCCCAGTGATGGGGTCAGCCCTCCCATAGTCCAACATGCACCAGGGACAGACAATTTGCTCTGATTATACAGCGACTTGATGGCCGCTAATAAAAGGCGCCCAACTCTGTACTTGTTCCCCACAGGACATCTTCAGGGAAAGTCAAATGCCTTCTTCAAGTCCACAAAGTCCAGGACCATCAAGGCAAACTCCAATGACCCTCCAACCACCCTTAGTCTGCCGGTCCAGGAGCATTGTCCCCAGCCACCATGCAATGTTGAAGAGATACAGTATGTCAACCATAACAGTCCAACAACACTCATACCCAAGGTGGATCTAATCCAACACCAATGCCTATCCCCGGTGGAATTTTTTTTGACCATCTGCTTCCACCAAGGACAAGTGTGACAGTGGGGGCTAAGGAGATTCTTAACGTATTCCTTCCACTATCTGAAAATGTCCTGTGTCAAGGTCAGCAGCTTCCCCTAGAAACAGTGTAAGTGAAGCACTGCTTTCCCTTCAGAGGTGCAAAACTTTCCCAGTATCACTTTGTGGCAGTTATTTTTTCATGGTCTCTACAAACTCCTTGCAGGCCAGAGATTTAGCCTCTGCAATGGCAGCGGGACACTATGCCTCACATTTTCGGTTGTTGCCTCAGTTGTCCACCACCAGGTTCATAATGCCACAGCTATAGACTGTCGCATTGACAATGGAGGCATAGAACATAGTCTACTGTAACTCCATGTCCTAAGCCTACCCCAGTATCTAAGAGAAGAAGATAACAGTTGAAGACAGTGGACATCCCGCTCCTTTCTTCACCTAAGTGCCAAAGACATTTGGCGAAAGTCAGAAGATAAGGCTACAAAGTTGATAATTGACCTGGGTGTCTAGACCCATAAAAAAACCCATGGGGGTTCAGAGCTGGTGACCTGTCGCTGCCAATCATGCAGGGATTCTACCCCTACCCAAAGCTTCAGGGATATGACTCTCTCAACCACCACAGTGAACTCCAACATGAGACTGCTGAGCTGGGGCAAAACGAGCAGACCCACCCCAGCCCTCAGAGTAAACAAGAGTCCAGCCTGTATTAAAAAGATGGGTTCCAGAGTTCAGGCTCTACATGGAGGTAAGCCTGACTATTTCAAGTGAGTGTTTCTCAACTACATGTACAAGCTCAGGCTCCCTCCCCTCCACCCTAGCGAGGTGACATTCCACATCCCCAGGCCCAGTAGGCCCTGCACAGTTCTAGAGATCTCTGATGTTTCTCCAGGTCTTTGTTGCAGACACTTTTCCAGTCTGGGGAAGACTGCTCCGATGACTATGGGCATTATCTATCTATCTATCTATCTATCTATCTATCTATCTATCTATCTATCTATCTATCTATCTATCTATCTATCTATCTATCTATCTATCTATCTATCTATCTATCTATCTATCTATCTATCTATCTATCTATCTATCTATCTATCTATCTATCTTTCTATCTATCTATCTATCTATCTATCTATCTATCTATCTATCTATCTATCTATCTTCTCTTATATACATACAATCATTAATATACATACAAATACATATACAATATACATACATATACATTCATATTTATGTATGATACAAATGACCATTTAACCATAGCTGTTGGGCTTTGCCTAAGGTTGTTTGTCTGTCTGTCCGTCTATCTAATGTATAATATATAACATATTGTATATATAACATATTATATATATATATATATATATATATATATATATATATATATATATATATATATATATATATATATATATATATATATATATATATATATATATATATATATACACACACACTTGACTAGTTTGTGGAGTTTCATTATTCTGCACTCTAGTGCCCTCTTGTGGCAATACACTGTAGTTGCAATTTTACTTTTATTCAAGTATTAAATTCTCATCAAATTAAGATTAAGAGGAGATCCAAATCAGATTTAGAATTCAATGATAATCAGAAATATTTTAACACCAAAATGGTACTTAAATTGGAGCTTCCACATCATGACTTTAAAACTCTCCCTTATTTACCAGCAGGTGGCGCTGCGGTGATCCCTCGCGGCAGAAAACAGACTCTTCCGGGTTATGTGAGTCCACGTGATGGTTCAAAGGTTATGCAAAGGTCGTGTTGTGTTTTCCCTTCCCGTTTGTATGAATTGTGTGTTTTAGCCAGCCGGTGTTGGTGATGTGATGGCTTTTCTGACTCTCTTCAAGCGAAGGCAGCTCCCGCCAGCCGTCAGCTGCTTCCTCAGAGCGGTGAAGCTGAAGCTGTCGGACCGCGGTGGAGCACCGCTGAGGCGGCTGCACGGCTCTGCGGGGCAGCGGGTCGGGGAGAAGGGGCCATGTGGGAAGAACCAGCCACTGCAGCAGTACCAGTTCACAGACCTCGACAAAGCGGACGCGTTGGTAGGATATTTATTTCTTATCTGATGGAAATAAAGAGAAACTGCTGTTGGTGGTTGCAGGTATAATATGCTCTCTTTTTTTATAAATTTTTTTTGCAGATGCTGAGGAAATCACACGAAACAGGTAATATGTTACTCCATAGTTACTCTATATTCAGTATATATTGACAGCTTTAGGTTTTTCTTGAAACTTTACTTTTTTATGAATTGAATTATCATACGATACAAAACTAAACGGAGGGAAATTAGTTTGAAAAAAAAAATAGACGCACAAGTTTGTAATTCAATTTCAGTTCAGTTTATTTACATAGCACCAATTTACAACGCATGTCATCTCAAGGCACTTTACAGTTCACCAGATCACAAAGTCAAATTGATTCAGTTTTCTATCTAAGGAAAACCAGTTGATTGCATCACTCACTGACTCAAATGCAAACCCTCACACTAAGCATGCTTGTAGCGACAGTGGAGAGGAAAAACTCCCTTTTAACAGGAAGAAAACTCCAGCAGAACCAGGCTCAGTGTGAGCGGCCATCTGCAGCTGAAATGATGGGGAATCATCTGTAACCCAACAGTGGTAGGATTGTTCATACAGGTTCAGATAAACACAAACACTAGTATAAGCATAAATGTCTTGAATGAAATCACAAGAGTTTTGGCTGTAAATTAGGTGTAGATGTAATTCTGGCAAACTTTCAAACATAATCATTGACTTTTACATATATAGAATTTTATTTATTTATATAAAACTAGTATAATGTGTGTTTTTGTTGGAAGAGTCAGTCATGTCAAAGTTTCAACCTGCTAGTTATTGGTTTTAGAGAAAGCATAAAGTCGTAGGGAAGTCATATTTAAAATAAATGTCATAACTGATGCTCCGTAATGCCCATGAAATGATGCACAAGCATCATTCTGAGATGCTATTTGCATCTCTCATACAAGCTTACTTTCCAAATGAAGATTTACACTTCTTCCACTATGTCAGACTCACCAGCGTGTTATGCAGAAATTTACCTGCCTGTCGAGAATTACCTCCCCTCTCCCCTCTCACAATGATGAGAAAAAGGATTGAAATAGGAATGAAAAGGGAACTTTTAAACATATTCTTAATATTTTCCTATTTCTTATGCATGGATGCCCTAAAAAAAGAGTTTTAGTCGACAGATGAATGGCGAGAAATTCCTGCCTGCGGAAAATTTCCTCCCCTGTTGCAGGAACGCGCATCGCCCTAAACTCTCACACACTGATGAGAAAACGGATTGAAATATAAATGAAAAGGGTAACTTTTAAACACATTCTTAATGTTTTATCAGAAATTATATCAAATGGTATTGATAGCAAAAGCAGGAATTGCCATCCACTGAGCAGAGACTATATTTGTCGGACGCTGACTGTAGCACATCGACTAAAACTTGTCCCCAAACAAGTAGAAATCGTATTCATTCGACTTTATCTGTCCACCAAAACTCAATCCCATCAGTGTTCGAGAGGGGAGGTAATTCTCATCAGGCAGATATTGATAATTAGGAGGAAAACTTATTTTGATGATCCACCCAGAAAAATAATTTTCCTCCACTATACCTTTAAAGTGGAACTTTAAGGAAAAGAAATGGTCAGAGGACAGGGTTGGGAGAACATTTGACCAAATTTGTCCAAAGCTAGTTGAATCTAAGATGGAATTAAAGCTGTCATAGAATCCCCCACTATTAGAGCTTTGTCAGTATGCAAGACAACATTAGATAGAAAGTCTGACAATCGATCAGAGATTGAGAATAAAAGCCCAATGGACCATACAGAACAGCAAACAGTTTGGAATATAGAAGCTAAAGACTAGATGTTCAAAGAATTGTAACTATAAATCGGCTTTGGCTTAACAATGTTCAATATACTACATTTGATTTTTTTTTTTTTTTCATCAATTTCAGTCATATTAATTTTAATGAGGTTTGCACGACGGTACTCTATTTAGATAATTTTCTGTTTTTGTTTTGATTTTGGCCGTAGGCAAGATCTTGTCTTAAAAAAATGTTTGTGTAGAAAGTGAAGAACTAAGTGAGAGAAGCTACATAAAACCTGTTAAAACCAATAAAAAGAATAGGATCAATAGGAGCTATGACTAGTTTTATCTGTTTTATCCGAATCTGTTTATTTTAAATATGTGTTTAGCTTTAGTTCCAACAAGTTTAAAATTAAAAATCTTAAACAATTAAAACACCTTTTCTGGCCTTCCAAAAAATAAAGCAAAAAATAAATACAAAATAGTTAAATAGTGAATCTATGCACTGCAGTAAAATTAACTATTGCTTGTTTTAAATTAGAGTTGATTTACTAAAAACTGCTGGAATAAAAGCTGCCATTTTTTCTCTGATGTATATAAGATGCTGAAGATAAAACTGAACTCAGAGGGAAAAAATGTTCAGAAAATATTAAAGAATTGAATCTGTAATATGTCTAGGAATTCTGTAAGCAAGTTTATCTAGTGATTCACTAATTTGGAGGTGTGTCTTAACATGAAAAGTAGTATTTAGCATTAAGTTATAGAGTTAAAGCATCCAGGCCTGCTGTGTTTAGACTAAAATGTAAAACTAGAATAAATCCAACCATTTGCTAACTTGTTCACGGTTTTCCAGGGTTCCTGTCGTGGTTCAGAAATGGCCTGCTGGCGACTGGGATTGGAGTCATTGCTTTCGTCCAGAGTGAAGTGGGACAGGAAGCAGGTTATGGTACGAGTTTCCTCTGGCTTCAGTCACTGTCATAGGAAAGAAAACAGCACCAAAAAGAAATGCTTGAGAGAAATATTCAGATGCTGCTATTTTGAGTTACAATAAAGGCTACCTCACGTACCGTGTATATTTTATAAAAATCGTCAGGGCTCAGGAAAAATAAAGGTTTACAGATTTCAGGAATAAACAGCATGGCAAAAGTTGTGATAAAAACTTTTTATGTTATCTAAATTATAATATGTTTATGGGTGAGAATTTAGATTAAATATCTGCCTGGTTGGGCAAGATTTTATTAAACTTAAAAGAAGAACTATGTAATTTCCTGAGATTTGTGTGTATTCCTATGACCGCAGAGCTGTTAGCTTTTTTCTTAGATCTGATAAATTAATTAATAAGACCTGAGGATGTCCTAGAATTTGCCCCATACTTACAGTACAGCTCTTCAAAAGCTATATCTTATTTATACAAGGATTTTCAAACAATACATGTTAAAAAAAAAAAAAGTTTTTTTTGGTACACTCATATGCCTTGAAGTCAAATAAAAAAATCGAATCTCTTATCTCTCAAAATTGTCACACAACTCCACAAAGCTGAGCTGTAAAAAATGGGCATCTATCCTTCCCATCCTGCAGAGAGTCAGCTGAACAATCACAGCTGACAGTCAACAGTTTAAAACTAACTGATGTGAGAACAACCTGTGAGGAGCTTTTGCAACCATCAGCAATCCAAAGCATTGTTACTGGTATTCCCCTAATAAGTTGGTGAACGGGAAATGCCGAAGTACGGGCTTGATAGGGAATTTATGAATGAACAAAACTCTAAAATGAATGAGGATGTTTAAAGGTTTTTATAAAATAAGAATATAAATTGGGAAGATTTTAACATCTGGGGCTACTTTGGCTAACTTCTAATGTAATAGTAAAGAAAGAAAGAGAGAGAGAGAGCACAGGACATAATCTTCAGAAAGTGACTAAAGACTGAAGGAAGGTGGAAAACAAATAACAAAGTTTTTGTACGTAAGAAATACATGAGGGAAGAAAGGACAGAGAACCAGACAGTAGGGAAGAATATTACTAATTGCGCTGTCACACCTCAAGATTTAGCCAGCGTATGTCTGACGTCCCAGACTCCTCTAAAACGCTGGCATACGCTGAACTTTCTATGCATTTTTTTTTTTTTTTATTTTGGGTGTATACATAGCGTATTCATTACAGAGCGTGTTTCCAACTACAGCCTAACTTATGCATAATGCACAGCAGCGAAATGCCTATGAAATGATGCACAAGCCAGTGTCCTGTGGGGGGCAGCAATGCGCCTGGAGGTGCCCAGCCTGCATAAAAAGTACAAGAACTTTTCTCTAAACTTAAAAAAAATAATAATAAAATAAAAGGAAAAAGAAAGACAGAAGGTCTTCCGTCAGTACAGATTCAGTGTCATGTCTGCTTGGAAGTTTTGTTGGTTGTGAACGTAGGGAGGATCCATCACACTCGCCTTCTCGCTCACCGTATGATGGGGATGAAGTCTGGAGGAGTACTGATGGTTTCCGCCTGTGAACCCCCTTTTATACCAAAAAGCTGCCAATACGCCATTATTAGGTAGCTGTTAGTTAGAAACACATTCAGCGGTCGTCTGGACAACCAGTCCAGATATGTCAAATTCGTTGATATGCATTGGAGATAAGTTACGCATAAGTTATGCACAAGTTGCTTAGGTTTTGGAAAAGCTGGACACCACAACTTATTAGTAACTTACACTTAACGTATGTCAACGTTCTGATAACTTACCTGTAACTTATTCCCCACCTATGAGCATACATTGGCATACATCAGGAAATTTATGCTCAAGACTTCTCTACCTACTTGCCGTATGTCGACATGTTTCAGCATGCTATTAACTTATACAAAACCTATGCCAGCGTTTTTGCCTCAATTTTCAAACGTCGGCATACGCTGGCTAAATTGTGACTGTGTTACAGGGATACAAGGTATTAGAAAAGAAGAAAAAAGCCTTGACAAATAATTTTTCACCTTCTTTCTCCAAACTTATCCCGACCTAAAAAAAGAGCAGAAATTGACTTTTTGAGACTCTGTAGGAGTAGGCTGCTAATAATTGTTTATTGCACAGCATGAATTGTATTTTTCTTATTTGATTTAGATGCACGTTATAGATGAATTCAGATTTATTATGCAGCCTCCTAACCTTGACTGTTTAAACTAAAGAGCTTTCCTCTTTATTCGTTCAGAATCAGTAGATTAATATATATTTCTAATAATTCTCTTTGAAAATGCTTATAAATCTGTAAAAAGATCCTTTCTCTCACTTCAACTTAATTATTCTCAGAATATCTGATCAGATATTTGATCCCAAAGCTGCTGTTTTAAGTTTTGTTTATTTCTTGAGGATTTCTGAATAAAATCGTTGAGTGAAATGGATTCAAGGCCTGAGCAAGTTTAATATAAACTATTGATGCTTTCTTTCAGTTCAATATTCGGTGCAGATCTTCTCTAAATCATTTAATAATTGTATATACTCATCATTGAAGTTTAAAAGACTCTAAAGACCAACCTTTGCAGCCATAGTTGATTTCACTGTATTTCCTGCAGTAAGAGTATTTCAATCTGTTTATTTGCAGCCTTCTTCATTCTTGGAGGCATCTGTGTGTCGTTTGGCGGCGCCTCCTACATTGGCAGTCTCTTTGCCATGCGGAGGCTGATGCTGCTGTCTGTGCCAGCTCTGCTGCTCCAGGGCGCTGTGGTGAGCAGCGTCGCCCTCTTCTGGCTCTGCGCCGTATCGCTGTACATCGGCCGTCTGGAGGTGGAGATCATCCACGAGGACGAGGAGGAAGGTGGAGAGGACGAGGGAGAGTGCCGGGATTGCCGGGAGAGGCGGGAGAAGCGCGGTTACAGAGGCTCTCAGGACAGGGAGGACAGTGGCAGCAAGGGCCAAAATAAGTAGAGATCTTCCAGGAAAGCTGTGTGGGGGGGTTTGTTGCTCTGATTCAGGGTTTCTCTTATTTGTATGTTTTTGCAAGATGCACATATGTTCATATGAAGACCGCTTGTGAGCTTAAAGATGCAAACTGTCATCTACTGTCATAAAAAAAACACAAATATTCAGGTGAAGAAAGACTTAACTGTTTTCTTTTTTATTTTCCCTTAAAGTTTATTTTTTTTTTTTTTTGCCCCCTAAAGTCAACTATAGAAATGTCTATGATGCCCTTGGCATAAGGAAGAATAATTTCTGAATTGCCTTAAAGCTGCAACGGCATGGTAGGGATGCACCTGTATCAGGTCCACATTTTTCAAAGTATGAGCAGGGCCCACATCTTTTCATGACAGTCTGAACAACACGGATACAATTTTTTACAATGCGACCCAGGCCGCTTGGCTCTGTGTTCCTGAATCTGATACGAATCTTTTCAAATGCTCCTCTCCTTCTTGCGACACAGAAATGGCAAGAAATACAAGATTAATGGTGGACGATAATGCAGAGAGTAGTATTTATGTCTAACCATCTTGGAAAGATTGAGTTTTTAAGGTTGGGAAAGATTGCTACATGTTCTCCGGAACTACCATCCATGTTTAATTCCGTAAACACAGGTCATTTCATCCTCTACTGCGCATGCGGGACACCTAGGTTGTATGACTGCAGTTCACACAGGAGATCACATACAAGTCGCATAAATCTGGAAATGTGAACAGCAACACAAAAAAAATCGAAATTGAGCGTCAAGGCCTGCAGTGTGAACGTAGCCTAAGAGTCTTCCTACAACATTTAATCATGAACACAATTGGAGAAGCGTTTTACATTTAAAGATTACATCATGCTTAAACTCAAAGTCCCAAAACAATAAAAATAAACAGTTTATTGAGACTTCCGGTTATTAAAACAGTGTTCATGCTTAGTGTGCAAAGGCTGAAGTCCTTTACATTAAGGTTGGAAATTCAATACATTGGAGTTAATCCTGGTCCTGCAGCAAAGTCGTGATTTTCCTGTAGATTTAGCAGTTAGGATCTCCGCTCACCAGCTTGGGTTCATGGTCTGTGAGCATGGAGGCCAGTTGGGAAGAGATTCGCTGGATGCGGTTGGAGCACGGGTGTCAGAAACGTCAGGTCTTTGATGTTGCCCTTTCTCTTCGATGTATTCATGTACTCATGCATCCTTATAAGGGCAACAATACTAAAGAACCAAATGCAGGCATCGTTTTCCCAGCTTCCACACTATAGGCCAGTCCAGTAAGTAAGTAGGTTATGTGGGGGTATTTCCAAATGATCCGCAAGTCGAATTACAATCCAGACTCTGATCTGTAAGCAGACCTTGGCTGATTTTGAAAGTTTTAGGGGTTATTTTTAATGCAGGAACACCTGGAGGTATGTTCAGCTATTTTGACTAGAGAAGGAAAAATAAATTAATCTTTATTGTTCTGGATTCAAGGTAAAAGTCCAACTTTGTCTGTTTAGAGTATCAGGGAATATGATCAAAGCTTTTTATTATAATGAACTTTTTACCTTCTCTTCTGATCCCTTCCTGGTATCAAATACTACAAAAGAGACTAAAATGCTTGTGTTGGAAAAATCTGATATAGGTGCATCTTTGCCATAGCATGCTATCACATTAGGCTCATCTTAAAGCTTAGCAGAGCCCTAAACGCATTATAACAACTCTGATATTATTTATAGCTAATAAAACGAGCTGTTGCTGTCTCTGTGCAGAGGTTCTAAGAGAACCGCTTTCTCTCAGCAATGAGCTGAAATGATCACTGATGGGAGAAAGTGGGCATGTTTACACGGCAGGGGCGGCACAGTCAAGGTAGGTCAAGAACTACCCAAGACAGGCATGAATCAAGTGAAATACCACTTTAGGTTTTGATCAGGAAAGAAATAAGAGCAATATAAGTTAAAGTCAAAATGTATTTTCCTTTTTATGTATATATGGACATGCTTTTGTTTCCGTTTGTGCCGCTGTATGCAGTCAGTTTCCTCTCAGCGAGCTGTTCTTTGCTGTTTGTTTTACCAACCTGAAGCAGTCATGACTGATCAATTCAACTTTTGTATGCTGTTAATGTTGGGGGGGTGGGTGAAAAATGTCAGTTTACTTGTTTCAGAGTGATTTTATTTAAAATAGTCGAAACACATGAGGGCTTAAGACTTTTATTTACATTTTTTAATTTTTTTAAAACTACGACAGCACTTTTGGGCTTTGATTTTTGTCGCTTTAGTTCCTCTAAACTGTTTGGAAACAGAACACTCTTCACAGCTACGACTGTGATCATTTATTTTGTTCTGTCTTTGATACATATGTACAATACCAAATGATATCCAAAAACTTTTTAGAGTGAATTACACATATTTTATCTATATACATTCTGTTTATAATGGATGTAAAGAGTAGGTGCTGCTTGTATTGAATTTGTTTTATGGAAAATGGGGGGGTTGTTATTGTTTACCTTTTGTGCACAACAGTGCATTCAGTAATAAATGCAGAGGAAATCTAAACTAGTGTGTCTATTCAATGATGGTTACTCAATCAGGTTTTTACACGAAAGCATAAAATCATCTTTTGTTATCTTTGTCTATAGTGTGTCTCAAACGTTAATCTTTTTTAGCACATGAACTGTCAAATATCACTCCAGACATTAGTAGCAATCCACTCTGGACAACATGCACCTCTCTTTACCACTGCTAGCTCCTCTGCAAATTGCTTAACCCTTTATAAGCCACTCTTTTAAGAAAAGTTTTTGGGCAAATTCATGTTTATTAGCATCCAATCACTGTGTGACATAATGACGTCAATGCTAATGCAGGTGCCCACACGCACCACAACCATGCTTAATGTGTTCAAGCCCAAATTGGAGGACAGAACAAAACCTTAGAACTTTTGTATGTATATTTTGATTGCAAAAATGGAGCCACCTCCAGCCTTAATCTTCGTGGCTAAAGCTTCATCAGAGTGTCATTCCTCCCGGACTCTTACTGCGTTCCCTGTCTCATCCTAACCGATCCGGCAGAAGGCCGCCATGTTGAGCCTGCTTCTGCCAAAGTTTTCATTCCAACGGGGAGTTTTTCCTCTCCACTGTCGCTTCATGCTTGCTCATCATGGACAGGTTCTCTCAACCTGTGTTATCCAACTGGACCTCCATCTTCCAGTTCCCTGAGTGAAGCTCTAGTATCAGCTCACGCAATTTACTGGATCTCCCCATAAAGCTCAGCATACCGTCTCACTAACCAGCAGTCTACAGACTGACCAACTTCATCTATCTCCACTCCACCACCACTTTCAGGCCTGGGGGGAAAGCAGCCCTATTCTTTGCTCCTGTTCATGCATATCTATCAAAAAATAAGCGCTATATTTCCTGCTTAGGTCTGAGCGCCATTGTATCAATAAATTTCTCCTAATTGTCTTTTCTCTGTGTGTATTTTTTCAGATTGAAATGAATGTCGATGTAATAAGTAACGGCAACTTGCCCTAATATATTAAGAAAAATAAAATAAAGCAGTAGAAGATCGGGTAGCAATGCTGCCTTGTAGGAGGAGGTTCCAGGTTTGATTCCCAGTCCGGGGTCTTTTTGCATAGAGTTTGCATGTTCTTTGTTGTTTGTCCTGTTTGTCTCTGTGTTGTCCTGCGATGGACTGGCGACCTGTCCAGGGTGTACCCCGCTTCTTGCCCGCTGACAGCATAAGATCGGCACCAGCACCCCCTGCGACCCCAGCAGGGACAAGCGTGATGGAAAATGGATGGATGGACAAGAAATTAATGAGAAAAAAAAAATTTTTATTCCAACATAACCTAATCCACCAACATAATCAATACTGATACAAACACATTTTTTTTTTACATTTTAACTAAGCTTATTAACTTTTTACCTTTTTTTCCTTGTTAACGTTTTTTCAACTTGATTTACAGTAGGTAAATATTATTCCAGGGCTCATTTCATTGGTCAAACAAAAAATTGTACAGCTATACAGCACAAATATTGTGCTTCTAGACCTCACTGATGGATGGGGGGTTCTGTTTGTAAGGGGTATGCAAGAGATCATAAACAGTAACTTGCCCTACATACATCCACGTTTATTCTCTTTTTTTCAGGAATTACAATAATTAATAGAATATAATTAATTCATACATGTATGCTCCATTGGTGCTATAAGCCTTCTCTCCTATGGTCTTACCTACAGCTTTTTACCGCCTACCCACAAAAGCATTATAAAATTTAACCAAACGCTGTGAGGTGTTTATATAGGTGATAATATTCTTCATAGCTTTAATACTTGTTAATTTCTGAGGGAGGTTTTGTTTTCCCATGTAGTTTGAAGAACAAACATTTAAATGACATAATAATAAAATAGTACAGCAAAGTTAAGGAATCTTATACTTAAAAGATGACTGTAGTCTTTTACTTCCAAAAAAAAAAAACAGTAAATAGAATAGAATAGAAAATCCCTTTATTGTCCCACAATGGGGAAACTGTAGTGTTATAGCAGCAAAATATAGCAAAAGTGGTCACACAAATGTGGACCTAAAAAAGTGTAAATAAAATAAGTAACAAAAAAAAAAAATCAAGATTTTGTACAAAGAATAAGATATTTTATCAAGTTGCATTAGGTAATTCAGTCATAGTACATCTTAAAATGTGATATATAATTTTTATACACCTTTGTCTCTAGTTTAGAGGGAAAATTAAACATCGGCTTCATTAAACCTTGGCTTTTATCAAAATCTCATTAGTAGTACACTCGAATTTGCTCCTTAGTAGATTACAAAACGCTGCTGGTAGTGAAATAAGTGTCACGAATGCCTTTACATTTTTATAGCTAAATCAGCCGGGCTTTTTTAAACAAATAATTATTGGATTCAGCTTAGATATGATTTTTTCCTCGTCAGTTTATATCAGCAGATTTGAATAATAGTTATTTTTCATTATCTTTTCATTTGAATTTTCTCCTGACTGTTTTTTAAATATTTCTTATGCAGTCCAGGAACCCGGCTGACAAAATGCTGGCAGTCTATTAATAAAACAATTATGCTGGCTTATATTTAATTAGGATAATTATTTAATTAACCTTCTTGATCACCATGCTCACATTTTGCTGCAGGGGAGCTGAGTGAATGCATTAATTTAACCCTCCTCCTCCACAACACCGGCTTAATCCAGCCATTACCTCCACCGACAGACTCCTCTAAGCCTCTGAATGTCTTGAGCATTCACTCATTTCATTTTCTGTTTATTCAGGTAACTGCTTTTCTCATCCTTAAAAACAGGTTTTTCCCTCGGTATTAAAGGCTGTTTGAAAACCCTGTCTCACAGCTAGAGGAGCATTGCTGCAAATATTCCAGCTTTTTGTTGCTCACAGTTAAAAAGCAGCCTCTGAGCCATCTTATTATTATAAAGCTAATTAATACTGATGTAATACCAAAAACAGTTTTAGTATCTGAGAGGGAGTAAAAACACTTACATTGGTTTTTAATATTTTGCAAAACCTTATTAAAATGGTAAGATTTTGCTCTATATTAAATTAATTCAAAACTTTCTTCTAGTAGTCGCTCTCTTATTTTTAAATAAATGCCATTTTTACTGAATATTGCTGGACTTTTTCTTTCTTTTTGACATGCAGCATTACTTTGACACTAAACAGACCTTTGTGATTTTTAAACAAGGTTTAAAAGAGTTCAATGTACAGATTTCTCCTTATGGGAAAACAATAGCAGATGAGGTTGTGCTAAGAACACTGTTAAGTCGTTGGTGGTCCCTGTAGCTACTTCATAATTGCTGATGGCCTATTATTGACAGCCTCACTGTCCAGTTCTTGTCTTGTTACTTTAATACATTTAAAGAAAGGTGTTGTTAATCCCCAAACAACCAAATGTTGCCATATACCAGCTCCAATTAGAAAGGCCTGTGTTCATTATTGTCATAATTTTGGTTCTGTTTAAGTTTTCTCTTGGTTTTTTATTTCCATTTTGTGTTGTTTTAGTTATTTTTAAATGTTTTGAGTTCTGATGTATTTCTTGTTTACCCTCTGTTGCCCTCTTGTGTCAATCTCCTTCTTGTTGCTCTCTTCTAGATTCTTCTGCAGACAGTTGTTCTCCGTCTACCAATTAGTCCTTCCATTGTTTCGGTCTCTCATATATACTCCTTTTCAGTCACTCTTTGCTGGTTCCTCGTGTTTTTTTGTTGTTGTTTTTTTTTGGCTCCCGATGTGTTTTTTTTCCCTGATGTTTCTTGGTTTTTTAGTTTTCTGTATTTTGTTATCCTGGATTTTTTTCTTCTGTTCCGATTTTTGGATATTAAATCTGTGAGAAACCACAGTTCTTTCCGTTTCTGCATTTGGGTCCTTCAAACCTCTGCCCAACCTGAAAATTATGTTATAGTGTTTACAGTCATGAGAAAAGAAAATGTAATTTTGTTTGAGTGTTACACAAATGATGCCTGAGTGGTTAGTGGCATGAATTGTCCAGCTCCACTTCAGCTTTTATTTTTCACATATTGTTAAACTTCCTATTATTGGTAGAATTCATAGTTGATGAAATTATGGTAAGAAAAGAAAAGAAGCGTCAAACCAAGACAAGGTCCAGTTTACATTTGGTAGGAGCTTCTATTCCTGTGATGCTGTATTTGCTTAATGCCAAATTTTTCTTTTGTTCCAATGTCCAGATATTTTCATTTTGGACTCAACTGTCCAAACAACATTATTCCAGCTCCAATTCCAAACACACATCATCTCTAGGAACTTTACAGAGGCAATTCAACCAGATCACACAGGCAAATTAATTCAAAGTTTTCTATCTAAGGAAAACCAGTTGATTGCATCAACTCATTGACTCAAAGGCAATCCCTTACACCAAGCATGCTTGTAGCGACAGTGGAGAGGGAAAAAAAACCTTTTAACAGAAGGAAACTTCCAGCAGATCCAGGCTCAGTTTGAGCGGCCATCTACAGAGGCCGACTGGGGTTAAAGGAGACAGAAGCAGACATTGAAAAAGAAGCAGAGATACAAGGGAACTTGTCAACCAGCTCCACAGGCGGCCCCGTCCAAGAAACAGAGAGACAGGCAGATGAACTCTAAGCCCACTCCCACGTCAGAGGAAGAAGAGTGCACATCCACACTGTCACAGTCAGAGAAACAGGACTACACTGTAGAATAGGGTGAGCTTGAACATCTATAAACAAAGGTGTTGATGGGAGCAGCACAGCTGATATTTCTCTCCAGTATGGTTTCACAGCTAAACAGGAAGAGGCCAGCTGAAGCTACTATGAGAAAAAGCAGAGAGAGCAGAACGTTAGAGATTGAACTGTAGATTCAGATTCTGTAGAGTGGGAGAATAGAGATAGAATGAAGCAGAATGATGAAAAAGGGGTCCCTATGTCCTATTTCTGTTTTGAATCATGGGTTAAAACTATCTTTTATGATAAATCTTTTATTTTAACAACATTTTATTTCAAACGATTTGATTTTTGACATTTTTTGTTATTGTTAGAATTAATTTATGGAATGCA